TATATATATATATATATATATATGTATGTATGTATATATATATATTATATATATAAATTACCATCTTATGTATATATGCATATGTATATTTATGTTTACTATTAATATACACTAATGCATAAAGCATCATTGAAAGACAATTTAGAGTTTCTTTCTTCACGTGTAAGAATCTTGTACCTTACTTTTAGAGAGGTCGCAGGTTCGAATCCCGTCAGAGGCATTTTACTATACAATTTCTTTATTTGTAGGACAACATTCGTTGAGAGCTGTGCTACACTATTATCATGTCCTTTATTCGAACACTGTATTTACCTTTCTTTGATGATTTATATATATATATTATATAGGCCTATATAATATATATAGGCCTATATATATATATATATATATTAATGTTTACTATTTATAAATAAAGCGTTATTGAAAAACGATCTCTTCACGCGTAAAAATCTTTCGTACTTTTTTCATACTGAAAAGAAACTTTTCGTTGAAGGGCTACCGTATGCTTTATACCATTATCACGAACATCATGTTTCTTTCGAGCACTCTCATTATCATTGATCTGTTTGTTTTGTTATATTTTAATTATATTAAATTGCTTATTATTTTATTACAGGTGTTGACGACAGAAGTTCATGAGATAAAGCAATATACACAGCCTGTCTCTTATACACATCTAGATGTGTATAAGAGACAGGCCCACGTGTTTATAGGAGACCGGTATCTACCAAGAAGCGCCTCTTTACGGCTGCTAGGTAGTCACTGACCACGCCCACACGCAATTCAGCACAATGACGCTGAAAGTTATGGGTTATTCTCCTACCTCTCCTACCTATATACTTTGTACACACAGATATATAGCCTTAATAGATAAAGGATGCAGGTTCGAATCCCGCCAGACACTGTGTTTTGTTTTCATACAGCTCTTTGAAAAAAAGGAACCTTTGTACTCGCGCGAGAGTGTAAGTACCGGTACATAATCTGTCTCTTATACACATCTAGATGTGTATAAGAGACTATCATTGATCTGTTTGTTTTGTTATATTATAATTATATTAAATTGCTTATTATTTTCTTACAGGTGTTGACGACAGAAGTTCATGAGATAAAGCAATATACACAGCAGGTCTTTTCCGAATATCAAAATGGAGAAGGTCTCTCCGTCCAAAGAACCACAAGCGACGCTCTTTATCACGGCACCTTGTGGACTCTATGACGATTTCGTCTGCCGGCAAGATATAAAAAGTGTAAAGAGTAATTTGGAACAGATCGAAAATGAAAGCCCGCTCCATGAGTTGGAGTTTGCGACGTGCAAGACATCTATCTCTGCTCTTGAAATAGTACGAGCATTCTTTACAAAAAATGACAAGCAAGGTTCGAGAATGAGAATCCTATTTTCTGGACACGGAACACCGCCGACGAAGAAACTGATCGGAAACGAAAACTCTTCGGCCGCTTTGAACGAAGCATGGATTTTTCAAAATGGCACCTTGTCTTTGAATGATATTCTGTACTGGTTCCAGTTGATCAAGCATTCGGACGTGTGCCTAGAACTCGTGGTCGATTCGTATTTCTCATATAAATGGCGAAAAGGAATCACCGCCTTCAACGAAACGAACACGAAAAAGATTAAGTTTTATTCTTCGACGTTGTCTGATATGGGATCTAGTTCACCAATGTTTACCGGACAGGGATCCTTAGCTCTGAAAGAATGGAGCTTCTATGGAAATGATTGATATAAGTCGTGTTATAAATATATTACTATTATTAGGTATTTTCAGAATTCCAACTCCCTTGTACGGTATCGTGGTGAGACCTGGATATACTGTATATTATGATCATAATCTGGATTGTGTTCAGACAAAGTCAATACGAGCACAATTTATGTATTGTTTCGATCAATATGATACTTAATTCCTGTCGTCAACTCCCGAGTTTTAATCCACAAAACTATATGTATAAAAATACCATTTGGGAACTTAGAAACAATATTCAAAGAGAGGGGTTTTCTTCATCGCTTTATACGAAACATCTCCAAAAAGCGGTGTTATAAATGAGGAATTTGTTTTTGTTAAGATAACGCAATTGGCTATAATATGTCATATATTTAATCTTTTTTTTTGACGTGGATGTACAGTAATGTAATAAATAGGCCTATATTAAGTGAAGCAAAATCAAAGAGCATTCTACCTTGGTTATTATGTAAATATACCAGAAAATAATTACCTGATACTAGCATAAACTAGATATTACTGTATGCCATTTTATCCCTGTGAATAAATTTCTCGAATGTGATCGCAAAGACGAATCTCATCAGATAAGCTTAAGTGACTTTTGTGTCGTTTCTATTTCTGTCTCAGGCCTTAATAGCCAGATGAATTAAGGTGATTATAATATTTCTTTAAAATCTGATTCATCATATGAATTTTTATCCGTGCGATTTAGAAGCCAAATCCCATTGACGTAAGTGAACATGGCAGTAAAATTCCTATTTATATTTCTGTCTGTATTGGCAACTGAACCATCTCCAGATAAACGATTTATCATGATTAAATATTTATATGATGTAAGCCTATATGCCTGTTGTAACAGTACTGTGTTGTTATTGTTACTGATACAATTAGACCTCTACGCTAAGCCTCGCCCCTTGCATACTCTGCTCAGTATATTGTGGAACATTGACAATGTAAAAGCCCACGTAAACTTGCGTGTTTATGGGACATACGCATATTTTCATAAAATTACTAGTTCGTTCTGATTGGTCAGATTGACTTTGATTGACACACCCAGAAGATGCATTGTCATCCCACTTGATTTAATTGATACCGTTACTGCTTTAGGTTTATGTTGTATAACGTTTGATATAATGTTACCCGCAATAACGTAATGCACAGACTATTAAGCTTAAACCAATTTGAAACTTTAATCATCTCAGAATTTAAAGTTGTGAACAAGTTTTGTCTATCTTTATGAGAAAAGAAAATATTTGTGTCATCGGCAAACAAAACAAATTGGAAAAGTTTGGAGGAATTTGAAATATCATTAACATAAATTAAAAATAACAAAGGACCTAAACGTATGTAACAATAGACTTGTTATTGTTTCAGTTGTATTTCATACAAAAATAATATAGGCATATACATACTTTCACCCAATTTACGCATTAATTAAATTTTTAATTAATTTTAAATATTTTGTTTTAAATCTTATTTTTCGCTTAATTGAACAACATGCCTTCATGTGGAAGCCCACATCACTCCACCCCTCGCCTCATCCTGACGCACAGTTATGTTTAATTTAGTGATTTAATGTATTTGTTTCTTGATTGACCTATCTGTGATGATCTTTGGAAAATAAAAATTAATAATAGAATTATACTGGCGAGTCGAGTGGCCGAGCGGTAAGGCAGGGGCGCCGCTAGCTACAGCCTTAACATCGGCGCTGGTTCCAGCCGCTCCTCGCCCATGGTTCGGTTGGTAGAACTAAGTCTTCTCGAATAAGGACTTAAAATATGCAGGTCCAGTGTATACATCTGGCTCGTGTGCACTTTAAAAAACCCATTGCATTAAGTCCCAATTTATGCTTTAATTAAATTTTTAATTAATTTTAAATATTTTGTTTTAAATCTTATTTTTCGCTTAATTGAACAACATGCCTTCATGTGGAAGCCCACATCACTCTACCCCTCGCCTCATCCTGACGCACAGTTATGTTTAATTTAGTGATTTAATCTTGCCTTGATTTACGGTATTACATATGAATCGGTATGTTCTGAGTACTTAATTGAGGAGCATACTCGGGTGTTTATATAAAGGGCCAATCAAGTTGCAACTAGCCGTTTTACAGCGTGCGTTCTGAAAAGTAACAAGGGTTTTCATAAGTCTAGGAATTGAATCGGAAAGAATTAATCATTACGGATGAGCTCCATAATGTATTTGTATTAGTTTCTTGATTGACCTATCTGTGATGTTCTTTGGAAAATAAAAATTATACTGGCGAGTCGAGTGCCCGAGAGGTAAGGCAGAGGCGCCGCTAGCTACAGCCTTAACATCGGCGCTGGTTCCAGCCGCTCCTCGCCCATGGTTCGGTTGGTAGAACCAAGTCTTCTCGAATAAGGACTTAAAATATTCAGGTCCAGTGTATACATCTGGCTCGTGTGCACTTTAATGCGGTATCTACCAAGAAGCGCCTCTTTACGGCTGCTAGGTAGTCACTGACCACGCCCACACGCAATTCAGCACAATGACGCTGAAAGTTATGGGTTATTCTCCTACCTCTCCTACCTATATACTTTGTACACACAGATATATAGCCTTAATAGATAAAGGATGCAGGTTCGAATCCCGCCAGACACTGTGTTTTGTTTTCATACAGCTCTTTGAAAAAAAGGAACCTTTGTACTCGCGCGAGAGTGTAAGTACCGGTACATAATGGGCCTACGATCTGTTATTTGACTTTGAACGCTTTTTGACAATGAAAACGTGGAAATATAAATATTAATTTGCCAAACGAGGGCATTCATTGGTTAGGCTCTTCGATTACCGTCCTTATCATAAAGGGTTCGGTCTGGTAAAATACTTTTTTTCAAGATATGCAAGCAAAGTACAAAACGTGGTTAAATATTTGCTAAAGCTGAGCCACATGGATACCTATATCATGAATTGTGTCGCCATGGAGACTGGAGAATAATGTTTTATGTATAGCCATAAAACGTTTATGTCGTAGTCTAGACCTCATTGAACATTAAAGCAGCGATTTAAAATTTGAATAAATGAACGGACAAGCAACCTCCATGAGAGGGTTCTTTACACAATTAAAATCAATAACCTCTCTGACGGTTGTGGAATTCTGAGCAACCTTCATTAATGATAATGAAATTGAGTTTAATAAAAAATAAATAAAAAATGAGCCAATGAAGATGCCATGGCAAATATCAATTGCTCAAGTGTTAGAGAGGCCTACAACGTGACGGCATAATGCGAACATTATAGCATCAGTAGTAGGCCCCAACCTTCTTGATCCTGAACGTAATATCGCTGACGGTAATATTAACGACGTTTTATGACGGTGATAAAAATTACATTTATGATCTAGTCGTGTTCTAAAGTGATCCATGACTTAATGTAAAGTGGGCATAACTAAGAAATCTGGGCTATAAGCTAACCTTGGGCGACCTGCACAAACCACAGTAAAACACAAACCTGGGTGATGGAAAATTGGGCAATGCAAAGTATACAAGTGGACAAGTAGGCCATATCGTATTTACCAGCATACAACCAGCAGCTAAAAATATCCGTTTGATGTGCTATAACGAGTAATGAGAGCAGCTTGATCGAATAGGACCAAGGAAATAGAAACCGTCATGTTAGCCTATGGCACTATAACACACTGGTAACCAACCTAACCAAAGAAACTTGGTGCTTGAGCGATGATGTTGGTGGTGGTGATGACGATGGTGATAATGAAGATGATGATGATGATAATGATAGTGATAATGATGATGATGATGACGACGACGACGACGACGATGATGATGATGATGATTATGATTAGGGGCGCATGCTGGTTTTGGCCTGGGGTGCGAAAACTGAGAATACGGAACTGAATTCCTATTCCATTGAAAACTGTATTTTAACCCACTCAGTGGAAAAGTTTGCCGTCATGGGTCCGCACTCCCACCCCAGCCTACGCCCATGATGATGATGATGATGATGTTTGTGACAATGATGATGAAGGTGATGATTCCCTAGATGGTGCTGATGTTGATGATCACGATGATGTTGACAATATTGACAATAGTTTTTAGGTGATGATGATAACTTAGTGGAGTTATCCATTCAACATTTAAAATTTCCATACACAGTGAAACAATTGGTTGGACTGTAGACTAGACCTATTCCAAGTAATACACTTGGCTTAAATAAAAGGAGAGACATACGGTACTATTTAATTAAAAATGGCGTCGATTGATATAGTCTACAACATACGTGACAATAATGAGCTGGAAGATTAGGACAGTGACAGTGGCACTCGCACATTCAATGTCCCAAGTGGACACTAGCAGGATCATCGCATATCACGTGTTAGTTACAAACGAATCATACGCAAATAACAATCGATAACTAGAAACATAAAACCGTATCAGTATAACAGATGCTCCAACGTTAACCTGATTTAAAAAAAATAAATTATACATCTAAGAGGAGATACAGGATGAAACATATTGTTTTCGTGCATTATTGATGCTTCATCTAGTTTGATTAAAAAATTATAATTTTGAGTTTTGTGGTTACTTTATTATTTTAACGTATGCTGTAACATAAACGAGCAGTTTTAACGCTGTACAATGTTACTATGTGTTCCAATTTCTTTCCTCCAAATCATTACAATGTGTTACTCTAAGCACATGTCTATTAACATGATTATTATTAACCGCAGCATTAGACAATTCATGTGGTGGCTTATAAACACTGAATTATTAAGAAATCAATTTGATTTGTTTTATATACAGGCCTACGCTTAAACAAACCACTCCATCATTCGCGACGCGATACAATAATAAGATAAAGATGCCGTACATTACCTATAAACATGAAATATCTTTGAAAAACTACGGTACTATTACCGAAATTATACACTTCATGCGATAGCATATGAACATTGAATTATTAAACTTCATTTAATTTGTTTTATATTCCATGCTTAAATAAACCACTCCATCTATAGCGATTCAATGATAAAATAAAGATGCCGTGCCTTACCAATATATTAAATATCTGTGCAAGCCGACCACTATCGAAATTATACACTACATGCAATGCCCTATGAACATTGAATTATTAAACTAAATTAAATTTATTTTATATGCCACGCTTAAATAAACTACTCCATCATTCGCGATTCAATGATAAGACAAAGATGCCGTGCATTACAAATTATAAACATATGAAATATCTGTGCAAATCTACAATTATCGAATTACAGAGGCGTCTCTCGAATAAGCACCACAAAACACGTGTTTTAGCGCCACTCTCGAATAAGGACCAAGCACCAAACGTGTACTTTTTTAACATCACTCAAATATTTAAAACGCCGCACCAAACCTGCGCTAGAGTCACTCTCAATTAAGTGCGGCACCGAACGTGTTTGCGTCACTCTCAGACGCTTACAGTGTTAGAAATAGGCCTACTTTAGGCCTATTTCAAACGTCACTGCGACTTAACCAAATGCAATAGCCTAACATATGTCTTCTCTAATTACAAGACGCAAAAAATTGATTTTGATAAGTCTACCCTTAAATCCAGGTTGGTAATAAAAA